GGCCCGCGTGGAGCCCGCTGGCGCCGCGGCTGCTGGGCTTCGGCCGGCCGGGCGGCGGCGGGGCGGCGGCGGAGGAGCGCGCGCTGCTGGTCGTCTCCTCCCGCACTCAGAGGAAAGACAGCCTGTTCCGGGAGATCCGCGCCCAGGCCCGCGCGCTCGGGACAGCTCTGGCCGCGGAGCCACCGCGCGACCCGGGGCCCGGAGCCAGCTTTGCCAGGGTAGTCCCGGGCGGCCGCAGGCGGCGGCGGACGGCTCTGGGAGGGACGCGAGCGGCGCAGGGCAGCGGCGGGGGCGCGGGCCGGGGCCATGCGCGCAGGGGCCGGAGCCGCTGCAGCCGCAGGCCGCTGCACGTGGACTTCAAGGAGCTGGGCTGGGACGACTGGATCATTGCGCCTCTGGAGTACGAGGCCTACCACTGCGAGGGCGCGTGCGACTTCCCGCTGCGCTCGCACCTGGAGCCCACCAACCACGCCATCATCCAGACGCTGCTCAACTCCATGGCGCCGGACGCGGCGCCCGCCTCCTGCTGCGTGCCCGCGCGCCTCAGCCCCATCAGCATTCTCTACATCGACGCCGCCAACAACGTGGTCTACAAGCAGTACGAGGACATGGTGGTGGAGGCCTGCGGCTGCAGGTAGCGCGCCGGGACTTCCGCGGCCGGCCGGTGGGCGCCGAGCGCGACGCGCTTGGATCTGGCCCTGCTGCCCCGGAGCGCACGCGCGCACGCGCCTGCCGTGGACCCCAGCCCCAAGCCCGTGGGTGGGGTCTGCACACATCCCGCCTCGGCCGGCCCGCCACCGCTCGGGGAGGGTGCGTCTCCGAGGCTTGGTAGCCGGCACTGACCGAGCCAGGACGGAGAGGGCTGGGCCCGGCGGAGAGGGCTGGGCCCGGCCCGGCCCGGCGGCGCACTGGGCCCCGAGGCGGGGAGGCCCTGCTGGGCTTTGCGTGCACCCGGACCGGGCGGACGGCCTTCTCCGCGGCTGTACCATTTGGCTGTGGTGCTGCTTCCCCTTCAAGGGGAAGTTTTGCCTCAAGCACGCATCTCCGACCTTCCCTGCTGTCTTCCCAGGCCAGCGCCGCCTTTGTCATGCTGGCTGGGACGCTCTAGAAAGTGGGAAGGACAGCGAGTGTGCGGAGACGTGGGGCGAGGTGGAGCGGGCAGGACCTGGGCCGGCGAGAGGGGCAGGCGCAGCGCCTAGGGTTGCGGGGAACCAGCGCTCGGGCTGGCGCGGGAAAGGGGCGCGGCCGCCCCGTTTCCTAGGGCCCTGCCCAGCGGGCTCGCGCGTCCTGGGCCCGGCTCCGGCGGACTCGGGCGCCCGCCAGGTAGGCGCAGTCCCTCGCGCGGCAGGAGAGCACTTAGCTAGTGGGTCTGCCGCGCGTTCTGGGCCTTCTGGCAGTGCGATAGTAACGGGAGGTGAGGCCACACCGAAGTGATTTCGCTGGACTTCGCTCGCTACCCAGACCTTTCTGAGCAGGAGGAGGCGCCCCCCTCCGGGCTGGCAGCTCCTGGGGCCAATTCGGAAGGGCAGGGCCTTGGTGTGGGGGGAGCAGGCGCGCAGGCCTGGCTCTGGGGCCCTAAAGTGTGCCCGAGGTCTTACTGATGGCAGGGCTGTCTGCCGACCTAAAGGCGAGCTCCATATGTGCTCGATTCCTTCCTTCGAGTCTGGGAGACCTCGGAGTCCTTTGGTCCGCGGTTGGGAGAGGAGCAGGATCCCACCAAGGGCTCCCAGGTGCTGCTTAGATCTGTGCTACACTTTCCCCTTAGGGCCCCAGAGAGGCCTTCATTCTACCCCTCCTTTGCATGCTGAGGTCCAGGACAGTTCATGCCTATTTTAATTCTCAGAGGTTACACTGTGCACTCTCGGGAGACAGGAAAGACTAAACATTTAGATACAGCTAATTTATTTAAGGTCCTACTGGAGTCATTTTCATTCTGCAAAAATTCCTCCAAGAGTAAAAACGCTCACATATACTGACTGTAGCTGCTTCTTAAAATTAAGATTTTCACTGGGTGTGGTGGGACGTGCCTGTAGTCCCAGCACTCAGGGGGCCGAGGCAGGAGGATCTCCTTGAGTTTGATGCCAGCCTGGGCTGCATAGCGAGACCCTGTCTCAAAAAACAAAACAAAATTTAACATTTTGTTTTTATAATGTGAATTTATTATGCCGTGGCTGTGTGTGTAGTTTCAAGTAACCAGAAAATGCAACTATTTCTCTTAAGATAAAAAACCCCCCAAAAGTGGCCATTTTGGTATAATTCTGCCTTATTTTAGTGGCTGGGCAAAGATGGAGCCCAGATTTGTGGACTTGGCCAGGGACGCCTCCCTCTTGTAAACAGTAATTTTAAGGACAGTTGTGCAGGGATTGCTGTGCTGTCATGAAGAGAGTGAAGATGGCACCACAGTGTTAAGAAGCTGTCACAGTACAAGGCTCAGAAAGGAAGGTAATGAAACATCATGGTTA